TCCATCCTTGTCACTCCTAAGATGAACCTCAACATCTTAATTTCTGCTACTTACAGTTCTTTCTCCTGTCTTTTTGTCAATGCCACTGTCTCCAGACCATACAACATAGCTGGTCTCACAACTGTCTTGTAAACTTTTTTTTTTACCTTTGCTGACACACTTTTGTTGCAAATCACTCCTGAAACTTTTCTCCATCCATTCCATCCTGCCTGGACTCGCTTTATCACCTCTTTACCACACTCCCCATTTTCCTGGACAGTGGACCCCAAGTACTTGAAGCCCTGCACCTTTGTGACCTCTGCTCTTGTAGCCTCACAGTTCCACTAGCTTCCCTCTCATTCACACACATGTACTCTGTCTTAGTACAGCTGACTTCCATTCCTATTCTTTCAAGTGCACACCTCTATGTCTGCAATTTCTCTTCCACCTGTTCCCTGTTCCCACCACAGATCACAATGTCATCTGCAAACATCATAGTCCACGGGGATTCCTGCCTAATCTTGTCTGTTAGTCGGTCCATCACCAGAGCATAGAAGAAGGGGCTCAGAGCCAGTCCTTGATGCAATACCACCTCCACATTGAAGTCACCCTTACAGCACATTTCACCACTGTCCTACCGTCCTCATACACGTCTTGTACCAGTCTAACATACTTCTCTGCCACTCCATATTTCCTCATGCAACAACACACTTCCTCCCTCGGCACCCTGTCATATGCTTTTTTGAAATCCACAAATACACAATGGAGTTCTTTCTGACCCTCTCTGTACTTCTCCATCAGCATCCTCAAAGCAAAGATGGCATCTGTGGTGCTCTTTCCTGGCATGAAACTATACTGCTGCTCACAAAAAGTCACCTCTTGTCTAAGTCTAACTTCCACAACTCTCTCAGAGCTTCATCATGTGGCTCATCAACGTAATCCCCCTGTAGTTGCTACAACTCTGTACATCACCCTTGTTCTTAAAAATGGGCACCAGCACACTTCTCCATTCCTCAGTCATTTTGTCACCCTCATATATGCCATTGAATGTTTGTGTCAAAATCTTCAATGC